AAAAAAAAAAAAAAGTGGGTGACCCATCCCACCAGTCACGAGGATGCGGAAGGACAACATCCGGTAAAAATAACAAAAAACTTAAAAATTGGGAAAAGGGGAAAAAATAAATAAACAAAAAAAACGAAGATTGGAAATGAATAAGGGGGCGAAGCAGAGAGAGAAACTGGTTCCCGCTCATTCTCTTTTGATACTCATGTGGATTGTCATTTGTTGCTTCCATTGAGATCGGCCTATGACCAGGCTTGATTGTGAAAAAAAAAAAAAAGAAGCGACGGAGGCACCATAAACGAGCCCCTGGGGCTGTGTAACACTCCGTACGACGTACGGGTGGTTTATCCTACGGTCATACGTATGGCCGTATGAATGGCCATACGGCCGTATATACATCCCCGTACGAAAAAAAAAGAAAAAAAAAAGGAATCATTTTGTTTTTTTATCTCGAATTTGGTAACGAATTTCAATATGACCCTAAGGCAAAAGTGTTTCAGTTTATTTTTCTGCATAACATATTGTTTTTTTCAGATTTTTTTGCTTTTTTTCTTTTTGTTTTTTTTTCCGTACGTACGGCCCGTACTACCACATGAGCCCGTACGTACGTACGGCACATATTCGTACGGGGGTCTACATAGCCCTGGGGTTCGTTTCATGGTGCCTTTGTCACCCTGTTTCCTTGTTCGTTTTCAATTTTGCTTTTTTTTTTTTTTTCCTTTCCCCTTGTTTCTTTATTATATTTTTTCCATTTTCAAAGTTATCTGTGTGATGTTGTCGTCTTCCATGCACATATCAGCGGTTTGATGGACTAGCATCCTCATGGTCTCCACCCCCATTCCGGTGCCCACTCTTGGGCCGTCGGCCATGACCTCGACCAACAGTTGCAGCACAACGTTTCCCTTCTCAATGGCTCTTGCGACACGTCGACAACGCCGACTTGGGTTGCAACCATCTTCCCACCCTTTGTGCTTGCCCGGGCAAGAGCACCTGCCGCCATGCCCATCCCTTCACGCACCACCATACTAGAATCGAGCACAACCCTTTCCATATATGACACTGGCGGGTGATCATGAGTGCACTCTTTGCCCGTTGACCAACACCGTTTCTTCCACAAGCCGTCCAATTCTTGAGCACTTGCACCACTACGGCTCCCACCTTCTGACGAGCCATGCCCAGGGGGTGTTTCCTTATCAGGAACACCGCTTTCACCACCCTTCAAGTTCGACGATGCCATGGTGTTGTCGCAGGCGACTGATGGCCTTCGATGTGCCCACTCCATCTCCTCCCGCAGCAGCTGCTCAAACGTCATTGGGATTCCCTACCTTTCTCTGTCTTCGATGCTCATCTTCCAATATGAGGGCTTCCATGACGCGTTACACTTGTGCAGGATGTCCTTCATCTTGATCATGAGGTCGGATCACTTCTGTTTGCAGTCTTCCGCCGACTTGATCCAACCAGCCGCCTTCATCTTCCTGGACACCCACTCGTTCCTCACTGACCTCCTCGCGTGCTTGAGCCGACCAGACGCCATTGTCATCATGGCGTCGTCCTCCTTCATGAACCTCGCCCGATCAATGCGCCGCTCCATCGTCCATGTCATAGTTCTCCCTTTCCCCAACACACTGCCTCCCTTAGGCTGTGCGACTTTATGACCTGTATCCACCTCACTGCCACTCTCATGCACCCGTCCTCCGACACTTCCTGCCCCACTTGACCTTCCATCCTCTCCTCCACGCATATCCATCACTGCCGGATGTGACTCTTCTTCCCCTCGTCTCACGATGGGGGTAGATGGACCGTGGTGTGGTCGCACGACGTCTGGCAAGTGGGGACTGCAACGCTCATCCATGTCTCCATGCTCCCTTTGCCGCTGGGGACGCACCGACACCCCGATGCACCCTCCGCACCACTCCATCGACACCACCCCCAACATTACAGAGGTTCACCCATGTCCTCTCCACAACGCCGGTGCGTAAGCGATCGACCAAAGGAGGCTGCATACAGGCGGGAGCCAGATGAGGTATAAAGGAGGTGCCTTGGGAAGCTTGCGCAGTCGGAGCCACCTTAATCCGTGTACTGTGAACGGGGCCACCTGCAGTTCCACCCACTGCGGCAGAAGGTGGAGGACGAATGCGCCTGCCGAGGTCCGCATCTGGTCTGGATGATGCATCCATGCCAGACGAGAACGCAACAGGGAAGCGCATGTGTGTGGTTGATCGAGTAGCATGCCGAGCCCAGATCTCTGGGTCCGATGTCATGGTCGACAACCCTGTGGACAAATGGGCTTCAAAACCGAGGTGGTCCTGCATGTACTCCGGAAACTGGCTGCATGGCCCTCCCGACCTGGGTATGTCGGACGCCCATCCACTGCCATCCATTGCTGCGACGTAAACGGCTGCGCGCACCGCCTTGAGCTACACTTCTTACCCAACAAAACAAAGAGGCCTGCCAGTAGCAGGACAACGAAGACGAACAACGTCATGAGGATGGCAATGATTGCACCTACGAAGAAGAAGACGACAACCACGACGATAGCCGACCACCACTGACGGTCGCTGGCTTTACGCATGCGGACACCACAACAGGCTGGCTGCAAGCATGCCCGTGCACAAGAGCAATGGCAAGGCGAACAGCCCGCCTGCCGTCCGTCCCACTCACGCCTTCGCACCACCGCCGGACTGAAGAAAACCAGACATGTGAAAGGAGAATGACAGGTCCTTGCACTTACCCCTCCGTCGCAGAATCGTGGATGAGGGAGGACACCGAGGAGTCGACCACCCGGGCTGGGGACACCAGCACACGTTTGTCCACATGAAGCTGATGGAGATGGCCGCACAAGCACAGGAGGGAGAAAGTGACTGCCAACAACTCGCCTCACGTTGCTCGCAACCTTCACCACTCTATCAGCGATTGTGATCATGCCTCAAGCAACAAAATTGTGATTGCATGCACCCCATATAGCCCATCGACATCCCTCCCCGAAAGTGTGGCAGCCCTTGGCAAACAAACTCGGACTTCACCCTGTGATGCGCAACCTCACACCCCACGTTGCGCTCCTTACTTCGAACGCCGATCAGAGTAGTTGGGGGTGTGGCCGAGGATGTTTGACCGTGGGGTTGAATCACCCGGGCGAAACGGGGGATTCTTGTTTCGGGCCGAGGGTTGCCTTGTTGGGGGTTCGATCCATCGTCGAGTGCAAGGGACGGAGGGACAGATCGTTCCTGAGTGACCATCAACAAAAACTCGAAAAGGAGAAGCAAACGGAATCGAAAGAGGAGGACGAGGGAGCGGAGTTGTTCCGCTCCCTGCTGCGGTTGGTTCACGCGGCCCTTGGGGCGATCACTCCAGAATTGGGTCCCAGCCTTTTAGGCCTCCGTGTCAGACTCGTCAAGCCCACACAGATGACCTTGCGCGGGGTCGCCTAGGTTCGGGCAGGCCAAGGGAATGCAGGTTCGAAAGTTAGCCAGGAGTGCGCCCACGTTGCGGAAGAGTTATGGGAATCGAGCGGCACCTCCGTATCCTAGGACTAGTCTTCGCCAGGCACACGAATCCCCCTGACGACACCAGCGACAGTTAAACCGAGGCCGCAATGTGGTGTGGGCCACGGACCAGGGGAACACAGTCTGATCGGTGTAGGGCAATACCAGGGGAGGGGGAAAAAACCGATCAATTAACACGAACCCACTCCCTTCGATATGACAGGCTCTAGCGGGGTTATACCAATGAACTTGCTCGGTTCATCGTAGAGCGCTCCGGCGGCTCCGCACGTCCATGTTGTAGTACACCCTGTCGTCGTCTGTGATGGGGAAGGTCGGCAACATGTTGTGATGGACTGATACAAAGGTCAAGCAGGGGCAGGGACCGGCGCTCACGTACGCCGAGACGAACGCTGGCTCCATGCGACGATCGACGAAATTCTGCCTCTCTCTCTCTCTCTCTCTCTCTCTCTCTCTCTCTCTCTCTCTCTCTCTCTCTCTCTCTCTCTCTCTCTCTCTCT